TACCCCGCCAACGATGATGATATCGCAAGTGGCCGGGCTTGCAAAATTGCTGTGAAAGGGGTCGTAATCTTGCCACCGGGTTGTATATCACCAAAGGGGATCAAGTGGGGGCTTTTCTCGCCACTAAATGACGCAAAAAAAAAGGTTCTAGGTGCTCTCGCTCCCATTTGAACGCGTCGTAAGCAAACTCCAAAGCACGCAGACAACAGGCTCGCGAGTTCCCTTTAATGAAAATTGACCACGCCCACACTGGCTTTTGCATACGACCAGCATAGAAAATGTGGCCTCCGCGATAGGTCGAATTGCAGCCTCAAGCTTAGAAGTGCACTACTCGAACAGCTGAATTGTCAGGGTGGGTGTTACACCACATTCGGTAAGTTAAATTGAAGTATCACTTCAGTGAACTTAATCGGCGCAAGTTCACAAAAAGGATACGTGCACATGGCCTTCTCGCGGCACTCCGTCTCGGGTGCGCACATCGTCGTCGTCGGTACCAGCTTGCAATCCTTGTCGCAACAGGGCCCAGTAGTAGGGCTACAAAGAAGAACACGTGGGCAAACAAAAATACAAAGAAGATGAGCTGCAGTTATGAGCTTAAGTTACAAAATAAGATGGCTCTTTCCATTTGCAAGTTAACCTACCATTCCTAAATAACTAATTTGCATACAAATGATGAAGCCGAAGAAAGTACAGGATCACTGTTTTAGGTTTCTTATCAGTATTGTAAAGATGCTCATGGCGCTCGCTTAAGTTGAAAAAACAATGGTCGACGAAAATTTACCCTTCTCGGTGCGATAGACCACATAAATTTCGAATTACCCGTCCAATGCTCTATTTTGTGCTACAATGAAGGTCCTACCCTCGTAGTATTCATGTCTGCTTAAAAGGACACTAATACAATTATTAAGTCGACGTTGATTGTTGAAATAGCGGTCCAGAAACCTCGTAGTGTTACTTTTGTGCCAAGGGAGGGACTATTTTGAAATAAAATCCCCTTTTGGTAGTCCGCACCAGATTAGCGCACTTCAAATTACCCGCCTCAAGAAACGAACCGACCGGACCGACTCACGTTACCGTTGCCGTGCACAACGTTGCCCGGCTTTACTGCGCTAGTAGCAGCAGACCGAAAGCAGCGGGAGCCACAGCAGCAACAACGCCATTGATCAGTTCCTCGCCAATTGCTTCGAGATCGCAGACGTTTTTGTTTCAACTGCACCCCGCTAGATGGCATTACCAGTCCTGTGTAACCACGTGAAAATTGAATCTCCGAACCACTCGCGCCATTCCCCATAGTAAAGTCCGGTGGTTATTCTTTTCATGAATCAAACAGAAACAAACAAGCAGCAGTTTATCACGTCTCTTGATTTATGGAAGGTTCTTTATTTAGTGCAGTTAGATCGATTACTAGTGTATAATTGTTGGCAGTCCGTCCTGATGCCATCAAGGTAATTTTGAAAATGTCCTACTGCGGCGCTTGTGTTCTTGCGAATTTTACTTTAATTTCTCGGTAAGTAGGGCACTGTTGTTGATATTATTGTCGTTTTATATGTTGTCATACATTGAGGTTTCACTCTGACGTAAATTGTTATTTGACTTCAGTGTCCCTTTAATACTTGGGAGTGTGAACCAGCGCCATTCAAACTCCAGGCGGCGAGTGGGAATATTCTTTTCTTCTTTTTTTTTTCAGGAGTCACATGGCTTGTCATCTTTGCAAGAGGCGGTGGTGGCCGACCAACTGAACGCGTAATTCGAAGCTTGTGGGTTCGGACTCTACAGATAAAAAGGGTAATTTTTCTTACTCTGTAATATCTTTTAACTTATAAGAAAATCGCTACAATGAACATAAACCCCCCCCCCTCCTCCCTCCAAAAAAAAAAAATTGTACCGCCTGTTGTTGGTTCCATTAGTTGCTCGTAACACATAAAGGACCCTCTCTGACAATTATACTGACAGCCTATGCTTCATCGCTCGTGCGGTTGCTATTAGAGGCCGAACTTTCGAAAGCCCAACAGTAGCGATATTCACGTTTTTTTTAATTGAGACCGCGAACACGTCAGAGTGCCGCGGAACGAACGCGATATGAAAAACACATAACTATAGAAACTCTTTCTCTTGTGCTAATCAATTCCTAGAGTTACGCTGAACGCGTATCACGTCCCTCTTTCCGCCATCCGCCGAGTTTTGCACGCTAGCGCGGTAGACCCGTAAAGTCTGGAAAGCTTCGGACGCCAAATGTGTACCACAATTCGGAGTGGTCCATCCCGAAGTTGTACCTCTCACCTGCACTGTTTGCCGGGCCTAAGCGTGCACCCCTTGGCGTTGACGCTGTTACGGCGCGCGTAGCAGCATGGATCATGGCACTCGGCTTCGCTGTAGCCGCAGTCGCATTCCTCAACACCCTCGACGATTCCGTTGCCGCAGACTGGCCCGCTCTCCTCTGCACAGATCGGCGATGATTAGCATGGTCAATTTCTCTATGCGCAGCATCATAGGTGCATTGAATGGGACTGGCAGCCAGAAAAACACTTTTGTGAGTGCGTTGCGACGTTCGGGGCAAATATGAAAAGGCGTGCCGTATTGCTAGGCCTATTCGGTACATGTATATACCGCTATGCAATTGTTTAGCTTTCAGGTTCTAGTGACGTAAAGCTGTGTAGTTACATTGTTGAGCAGCTCAGTATGATGTTTGAATATCGTGCTGAAATTTCAGCGCATGAACGCCGGTGTGACAGCACAATTTTTTTCAGTGAAACTGTTTAAGCCGGCCGCTAATCTTTCGAATGCGGAGACACCGACATGGGGAGACCGAAGGCCGCTCGCGCTGCCCATCAGGACGTCGCTTATCGGGAATCACGGCGCACTGCTATGCGAGATTGCTGGATTGCTACCGCTTGAAGTAGACCGCAGCTTAGTATGGTCAAAACGGCAACGGCAACATATGTTTATGCTTGAGTGAACAGGGATTTGATGTCACTTATTCCACGTTTGTAAACAGCGGTAGGTGCTGTCGACATACTGAGGTGCTTGTAGCGACATCACAGCATCACTACAAGTACGTCCCTGTGTCGACGGTGCGTGTAACACGGTTTCCAAACATATAAAAAATTGGCCCCGAATCGGCATGTTACACTGCATATGTCGTCAAAAGACGATAGTCTCGCGTCTGGAGAGAGCGAACAAAACATTTATCTGATGTTCTGTGCAAGAAAATTGTTGAATGGTATTCTGGAGGCGCTGCGTTAGTGCCTCGAGCGTGTAGCGGAGGCGAACGAGCGCATCGAGGCACGTTAGATACGAGTGCCATCTGGCAGTTCGAAAACGGAGGAAGGCGTGCGCGCCCGCGGAGAAAGATGCGCGCTTGTCTCGGAGTTGATAAGGTGTAGAACGCAAAGCGACGGGCAGGCGCGACCACCATGTCGTCTCAGCAAAGCGTTGGAAGCACTTACCTTTTCGAGCGTCGCGTTGCACTGTCAGCGCAGCGTGATGTACACTACGATCCTTAGAATTACTTGTGTGTGCCTTCTCTAGTATAAAGCCACACATACAAAACTTCAACGTGTTGTTATGGTACCTCAGATATGCGCAATTATTACATTTTACTTAACCATCGCACAAGTATGAACGCCGAACCTTGAGCAATATTGGTGGGTGCTGCGGATGGGGTCGGTCGTTATGTGCCGTTTGAGGTATCGGTAATGGCGTACAAACAGACGAATGTACAGACAGACAGACAGACAGACCAAAATTTTTCTTTCGAAGGTCGCCAAGAAAGACTATCCTCTTTAAAGGTCTATAACTTAGCATCACTTAGAACCACTTCATACAGCTTGGAATAATCACGGTGTTTAAAGAAATTTATATGACAGACGGTAGACATCAATAACATTTCAACAGAACATGTACGCCCGCAGAAATATGTCCTAAAAAGAGATGTATACATATGTACGTTACAACGGAACAAAAAAAAGCGCAATGAGATTGCAACGCGAATATTTACATTTCGCATGTATACGTGGCTTTTCTGCCGGTACTTGACAGACATCAGCCTACCAAAACTGGGCAGGCCAGAACACAAGCTTCAGGCGTCTCTTTCAGATGAACACGAAAGGGCAGGACCAGTGCCGAATGGCAAGAATCAGCAAGGAACCGATAAGCTCTAGTATGCCTTTAGCCTTGCGCCACGAAAGCAATGTATAGGTACAGCTCATTCTGCGAATTTTGTCCACATTGGTGTATTAAAAGTTTCTGAAACTTATCAAGTAAAACACCGTGTGTCCGAGATGATAATTGAGGTCGTATTAAGCCTCAAACTATTACGCAATCGCTGCAGCAGACGGCGTGAAACTATGACGTCATGCTGAGTTGGTGCGAGAAAATCAGTGCAGCGTCGCCACATGCGCTTTTTTTTCCGTGTTTTCTCACTACCCGAGTGACTTACCAGTGTAGGAGTTCCGCGCTCTGCGTTCGATATTGTAAGTTTCTATAATAGGAGGAAAAAATCGCTGCTCCTAAAATGGGCCCTTAGGAGGAAGCTTGTTTGAGACGTTTGAAGACGTTGAGTGACACAAGCTTGCCTTGAAAGCAATTCTCGCGCGGCGACTTGCCCTCGACCATAGGCTTGATGACTTCGGATATGTTGCCCCTGCTGCAGGTGGAAAACAAGCGGTTGTTGGGCTCGAGGCCGGAACTCGCCATGAAGTACATGATATAGTTGCCGTTCTTTTTATTTCCCGGAGCGCAAGGGCTTCCATCCGGCGTGTCGTGCTGCGCACAATGCGAAGGAACACCCGATCACCTTCTCTTACGCAATGACACTCAGCGTCAAAAAAGAAAAAAAAACTTTTGTAAAGTGGTTTATGCGTTTTACGCAGACATACATGGCCACCTCCCTTTTGATGCAGGGCGTTTACAACGTATGTTCGATCTCAAAACAACTTCTGGCCTATGAAACATTTAAACAAATAACATACAGTATGCGCTAGTGCTATAGCACGATGTTTTTATAGGGTCACAACGCACGGTCTCTGTCTCAGTGTTCAGAGAAAAATCGAACGGATGATTGATTTGATACTTGGGGTTTAACGTCCCAAAGCCACCATATGATTATGAGAGATGCCGTAGTGGAGGGCTCTGGAAATTTCGACCATCTGGGGTTCTTTAACGTGCACCAAAATCTGAGCACACGGGTCTTTGAGCCGTCTGCGGTGACGGCTGTCGAGCGAATTTTACAATTCCTCCATACCATCGTATGACACCATACCCTCGTATGGTGCTTGTGGAACATTTCAGAACTACATGAAGACAGCATCGCTTACATTTTTTAGAGGAAATGAGCAGACTGAAGAATAAGGCTTCTTAAGGAATTACTGCTGGTCATAAACGTTTATTATTGTGGGAGTCATTGTGAAGTCATTCACGGGTCTTGCTATGCAGGTGGTTTTACCTAGCGGTGGACATATTGAGTAAAGCTTGGAAAATTACGTTAGCGATTGCGACACGCAGAAGCTCAGCCATGGCATGACCTCTTGGCTTGAGCGATCGAGTCACGCGAATGTACTCACGGGCGATCCGAAGTTGTGACCTATCTCGTGAGAGAACGTGATCTCGCTGACCGCCTGGGCCACATAGGCGTTGTAGTTTAGAAACGTGATCATGCCGGTGTTCAGGCTTAGGCGCGTCAGGCCCAGCTGGGGCTGCGTCGGATCCTCCGGTAACAGTCTGTTCTTGTCGCAGACGCCCAGAGAGTGCGCTGCGCGGCGAGACGTGGCATGCTTTCGATCTTGTCTATCATAGCATCGGGCACTCACACACTTGGTTTCGCAATTCACTCAATAGGCGCCGTTCACTGACCAGAGGGAGCTGTGTTGCTCGCACTGGCTTGCCCAAGTTAGTGGACATTGGCCTCTAGTGGCACGCAGAAAACAGACACCCGCACCCATCCCCCTTGTTGCCTGCCACAATCCATCCATGCACTCATGCAGAGAAGGAGACGCTCATCACGTTTTCATGCAGGGAGGTACATTATTGCTTTTTTAGACCCTAGGATTTGCGTTCTCAAGCTGCAGTCGCACTTCAACAACGAAAGAAACAAAGGGGAACTCACTAATATCGTCGCAAAGCAGCGTTTACTTCGATGGAAGGCATCACTCACTTGTCGAATTTCCCACGTAGGCGAGGCCGAGAACGCCCGAATCGAAGTCGCGGTATGTCCACGTATATGCTAGGCAGTACTCGTCGTAGTTGGCGGACTTGGCCGCCGTCAGCAGGAATAAGGATGGGTCCATTTTGTCCAGGCAGAATGGGTTCTTTCTGCTGGGGCAACTGGTCGTATCGTTGATCTGCGCAAAAACGTCCTGTTTTAAGGCTAATATGTTGCTGCGCTTTGTGCTAAATATTGACGATGTCAGTAGTTTGCACGGTCATGTCTCGCTGGATGGCATTCCTGCTGGACGTGGAAACAATCTAGCCTTGGTGCGTGACCAGGAAGAAAGGAGACTTGATAAAGCGCAGACTACCCCTTGTTTATCTTGAGTTCGAGATTGGATTATATATTCTTGTCCCAGCGCTATGACGGTGTGCACGAAACCACCATCTCTTTTAATAGTGGTGCCGTGGAAATAAGCACCATACAGCTGCGCTCTATCCTGTAAGACTTCCTCCTTTCTGCTAAGTAGCATTGTTGAGAATGTTTCCCAAGTTGGCATAGATAACGCCCCCCCCCCCTCCTTCTTTTCCCCTTAAAAGTCATTCACTTAAGGAGAGTAGCGGCTTGACAGCATCGAGTGCTTCCTGTACCGCGTTCTAAGATCTCACCTACAATAAACTATACAAATTCTCGGGAGACACCGATGCTCCCACGCTGCAGCGTGGCATTCGGATGCGTTAACATTATAAATAGGGGATGATACCTTGCCCGTCACTGAGCTTCTTCCGTTATCATGCTGCGTAAGTCATCGGGAAGCACAAGAAACATGTTCGAGTACGCGGGACTTGCAAAGTAACGTGCACCCTGCACGAGAATCATTACGTGCGACTGTCTCGCATAGCCCAGTGAAAAGTCTGGTATTCCCGAAAAGGCGAAGAATAGCGAGCAGGCACACAAATTATGATATGTGGGGTTTAACGTCCCAAAACCACCATATGATTATGAGGGACGCTGTAGTGGAAGGCTCCGGAAATTTCGACCACCTGGGGTTCTTTAACGTGCACCCAAATCTGAGCACACGCGCCCACAGCATTTTCGCCGCCACCGAAAATGCAGTCGCTGCAGTTGCGACTCGATCCCACGACCTGCGGGTCATCAGCCAAGTACCTTAGCCAATAGGCCACGGCGGCGGGGCGAAGTCACTTCATTGGTTCATGGAGTTCAAAGACCTGAAGCCGCGCAGTCAGGATCACCGAGGAGAACGGATTCTAACTGCTTTTTGACAACCCCCGATCTCACCTGCATTTAATTGTAAGCACACGAGTGCTTTTACAATTAGTCTTTATTGAAATGTCTTCCTCAGCCTCTTCTGGTGGCAATCTAATGGGCAAACTCGCGCATAACAGCAGTTTGACCACAGCTTTGGAGCAACGTGCTTTAAAGAGAAACTTGACTGAAGCAGTGATTCCGCTTGTGAAATTGTACTCTAAGACCTCTAAAGTCGCTACTTTCACCGTCACTGGTTTATTATTACAGAAGGAAATAAAGGTTGAAATATATTGAAATTTCGCGCCGATATCGCTGAACGCTGTGTTGTGTAGTTCAAAGAGTATTTATTGTATTATGGAAACACTGGTTCGACAAAACTTCCTGAAACTTAGTATGCTTTGTCTATGAGTCACCAAAAGGTCAGCATGCGTTCAGTTTTACCCCTTAGAAATTACGTAGGACCTAGGAAATGCTGTCAAAATCTATGACGTCGGAACATTTGGTGCGGGAACTTGAAGGGGGCGTCATCACCTGCATTTCCTTTTTGCGCGTTCTCTCGCTTACTAAGCGAGTCAAGCGTGATGGTTATAGTACTGTGCACAACGGTTTCACTAATTTGAGAAAAAAAAAAGTTCTTTTCTCTGAGGCATCGTCCCTTTCACTCGCCTTGATCTTGTGCACGCTGAACCTGACGTCCTCGACACCGCTGAAGTCGGTGTGCCGGAAGATGTCAGAAGCTCTTGCCGTGAGACCGGCGATGAGGGTCGAAAGGCGCTCGCGCGTGCGCACAGCGTCGTTGTCGATCTTGGCGAACTGGCGGTACAGCAGGTGGTCAATGTGGACGTAGAGACCGCAAACGCGGTACGTTCGCCGTGGTCGTCCGCCAGCTTTCGACTGGCGCCTCCGGTCCGTGTAGCCTTTCCCCGCTTGCATGTCGTCGACGTCACCGTCGTCGTAGACATCGCCATCGTAGTAAGAGCCCTCGGACTGTTCTTGGTGCTCTAGGGGGCGCCGGCCGATCCAGCGCTCTAGGTGGTCACCGCTGTGGCGTTTCGCTTTCGAAGACTGCGAGTTCAATCAATCAATCAATCAATCAATCAATCAATCAATCAATCAATCAATCAATCAATCAATCAATCAATCAATCAATCAATCAATCAATCAATCAATCAATCAAACCTAGTCAATCAATCAATCGGGAAGCTTGCCACCACACAAGAAGAGGCGTACAATAATATCATGAACACAAAAGATTCGCTGAGTGCGTTTAACGTCCTAAACGGTCTCGAGGTGCCAGAGACGCCGGATATTCCTTAAACTCAATATAAACAAAAATAGAAAAACTAAAGAAGTTAGAAGCCCTTTTCTGATAGGAAAAATGGGGGGCAAGCGAATTCTTCCTCTCTGCCTGTCACATTGCACAATGGCTCCTCGTAATTTTTTTCTTCCTCCTTGACGGGTGTAACGATGACGCTCATGCGTGAGACACTGAAATACAAGAGTGAATTGCGACAACAAAATGTGGCAGTGTAGGTCATATTTTCATATCAGAAACGGCTCATCGCCAGCAAACCTACGGTCAAGAGAGGGCCAGTTTTGTTAAAAAACCGCGCATACAAATACGCATGTGACCAGTTCATGACTCAGGGCATATATGTGTATGTTCCAGGGCACCTTTGCAACACTGCTGTTTTGTAAAAAAAGTTTCTTCTTTTTTTTTCGGTTATTGCGGCTTTATGTTCTCCTATTGTAGAGTACCGAGTACTCTCACTCGTTACAATTTTTGTAAACACATCGCCCTGAAGCACTCAAGGTCGCGTCAAGTGTCATGAGGCCCACGGGACGGCTTTATGCTTTCCCACAGTAGAGTTGATCTTACTCTAAATTATCAAAAAAATTTTTATGAACACATATTTGAAGCGCAACTCTTCCATCGTAGAGTTCACCATGCTCTAAACCCTCATTTTTTTTCTAAGCACAATTCCAAACGTCGCGCTCTGTCGACGAGCTCACAAACTCAGATGTACATTAGGACAGCTGGTTCTAAACTGTTCGGAAATGTTCTCTTAGCAGGATGTGTTTGATGCCCACTTACGAATCTACATACTGGCGTCTGCTAGGATGGTCTTTGCTTCCTAGTAAATTTGTTGGGCCGTCTGCAGGTTGTCCACCCCACTCCACTGTTTCGGGGAATAGATTTTCGGAGCGTCGGAAATGGGGATGCAACGTCGCTGCGAGCAGAAAAGGACTAGATTTGGCGCCGAATGACACGCGGTTCATTCGCCAGTGAACGATTGGTGAGAACGGGTCATGTTCTGTCGGAAGATGATCGACCCATGGGAAGGGCAGTGGATCCCTGTCGTCTGGGCGAATGCTAAACTGAAGGTAGGTCTTTCTTGATGTCCGACATCATGAGAATTGGATGCATTCTGAAGCTGAGTAGCAGCTTAAGTAAGTCGGTGTCCATCTTAGGCCCCTTCATGAGCACGCTGTTCAGGGATGGTTGATAGGAGCGTGAAATGACGCGTCGAAGACGACCCACAGCTTGGTGGTGATGGCATTTTGACGAATACTCCATGATTCGGCATTGTAGTACGTGTTGGGCTTGGGTGCGAGATCTTCGTCCGGGACTCGCTACGCATGGTAGTCGTTGAAGTATGATTTGATGGTGTCGTCATAAAGAGCCAAAAGATCTGGCTGCTGTCGAAAGCGGCGTAGCTGCGTCAGGAACCGCTGTCTGGCGAGAATTTAATTGCTCTGTGCATTGTATAAACCGATCTCCTGAATAAGGAGAGGAACTTTGTAGCATTATTCTATTTTGGAAATGCCCCTTTCGAATAGTTCGAGGGTCATGCTGTTGCCTTGGCTGCCGTCAGAAACATCTTGAATGCCGAGAGAGTCGAGTAGCTAGAAGTTAGTGATTCCAGCCTCCAAGGCGGCATCGCATTCATAGGCGTCTTTGATAGCAATAAAGAGGGAGGTTGCACGCGTGCCTGATCCTTGGGTTTGGTTGCGTAGAGAACCCTGAATGGTCCATCTGAGAAGAGTTTCACCGCAGTTATCTGAGGGGTCAGGCTTGATATAGATCTGGTTGCAACGAACCAGGAGAGGTCCGATCCTATTAGTACACTTACGTCGTCCTCGCGGAACGTCATCGCGTCTGGACGTGCACCGGCGGGGAGTATCTCTTTCCGTGTCATCATGGTTACGATTTCACCGTCAGCTGGCGGACTTGTCACCGGGCTGATTTCTGGTATTGCCAGAGCTTCTATTGTGTTCTCGTTGCTGCCGTGTTTGCTCCGCAACGTCAACGCAACGCGTTCACAGGTGAAAGTCGCGGGCCGTTTCATTTGCCCGAAGGTAAACAAGGTGAGGCGCTCAGCGTCCCGAACAGGAAATTTCAAATCTCGAGACACGTCCTGCCGAATGAACGAACGCTGGCTTCCTGTGTTGAGCAGGAGCTGAACCAGAACTGTTTTCGGCGGCTGCAATAGCCCATGCTTTGCCAGTCTGCAGCAGTATGGCGTCAAAGTAGCGCCGATAGTTGAGACGGACGTCACCCGAGAAGGAGCGGTTGTGGACGCTGGTGTGGAATCTTGTCGCACCGACGTGTTGTTGGCACGCCATTGTTAATGTCGTACAGAGATGTCAGATGTTGTCCCGTGCATTGGCAACATTGCAGGGTTCTGGCGGTGCGGGAATCATTGGCGAAATATTTGCGTTTGCCGCAGCGAAAACATGGCTTCTTTTGGTGAAGCCTCACTTCCCGGGTTTCGGCACCAGAATGGTGTGTCAGAAATGAAGATGGATACCCAGATCAGACAGTCTGGCTACACCGAAGATCAAAGGAACAACTGAACGAGCCAGCGCCCCAGGGTCGTGCTCGTGCCCACCACCCCTACTCTATTTACAAGACCAAGCTGATGTTGCTGGCAATGGCTTCTAAACCGCTTTCCGCCAGAGCCTTCGCGACCTATTTAAATAGACCTTGTTGGTACCTTGGCGCAAAGAAATCATTCTGGAACCGGGGGGGGGGGGGGTTAGAAAAGTGGGTAACGATTTAGAGTACCAGGTACTCTACTATGGGAGAGCTTAACGCTGTCCCCCCCCCCCCCCCAAAAAAAAAAGAACCGGCGAACGTACCCATAGTAAGAAGTTGCATACCAACCTCCACATTCTTGAATACGTAAACGCCACTCCGAAAAACCTCCGTTGTTTTACTGAGTGGACGTGCGGCTGTCGGCGAAATTTATGGCAAAGAAGGCTTCAAAATCTTACTGGCATGGCCTGTGTGTCAGAAGAATTTTTGTATAAATGTTTGTTTTGAAAGAAAAATGATGAAACTCACTTTCTTAAACAAGCGACACAAAAAAATTACCACCAGTGTTTGGGAAATCACGAGAAATGTGCGTAGCGTTGCATATTGAAAACAGGCAAGAAAACGGTGGTGTGGAGAGGGTGCGGACAAACGTAAATGCGGGCAACTTTTCCGGGTAACAAAGCAAAAGCTTCATAACCACATTGCACAAGCGCAACCGCCATTGAAAAAAAATTGCCCCCGTCTTTTATACGGGAGAAACGCAAGATGACATAGCTTGATTTTCTACACGAAAATCTCTAAAACAATACGCGGCTAGCACATTTTTTTTCTTTCTCGATACATTGCCACTGCGTGTTTTTGCCTGTGTGAGAAGGCCGTGTCACTCTCACGGGCACGTCAAACTCCGTCTACTCCATTTGTGCGTTCGTCGCGTATTTGCGTTTTCTTATATTCGTCTCGGAAACTTTCTACTTACTTCACCCACAAATGACTAGCAGAACAGACAATGCAAATTGTATGCAACGCTTATTATGCCCCGCAGCTATCACTTTTTGCAGCAATGGGAAGCACGTGCATAATAGGACTAATTCGTGCAGGAGTTCATGCGGATGAGTTTTGTCCCCATAAAGTATACACCGGCATACACACTTGAATCGGCATACAAGGGAAGCATGAGACACTGGCACCGCACTCGGAACCACTCTCATGGTTTTGTTTGGCAAAGTCAAGACTCCTTTGTATACTCTTCTGCAGAAGAGCGCTGTGCTGTCCCTATCGCAGCCTATCACAGAGAAAGATTGGAGATTCGCGACAGCGTTTAGCTTGTGTACAGCTCCCTGTAGCCTGAATGTGCCGACAAAGTTTTTTCTTCCTTTTGTTTTTTGCGCAATTCTCTGTCCCAGTTAAGTAGTAATTCACTACACTCCCAACTGTTTCCTTCTTGCTGTCCTTTCTAGACCAAATTCTTTACTCCAAACGATGGCTACTCCGACATCATGGTTAAACAGCTACGCAGTTTAAGAATTGCTGTAGATCTATAAAATGAATGCCGATAAGGTAACGAAGCAGTGGTCATCTGATCGCGAGTCATGGCATTCTATTTTGTCCTGATTAACAGCCTTTTATTTTGTTCTGTAATACGCTTCGATAGATGGGTGGTTCAACGTTGGTGTTTTTACGGTGTTGTGGCCTCCTTTAGATGCGGAAGCATCTTATGCTCGTGGCAGTGTCCGTTACGCGGTGTCCGCGCCCATACTGCACATTCGCCAACTCTCGCCTCTTACTCGCGTGAGCGTGAGGAGGTGGGTGGAGGGGGCGTGAGTATTGTTCAAAGAAGATTAAGGGCCAAACCTCATAAGCGCGAAAATGCACGCGACAGCGACGAGCGACGCTATGAGCGACGAAACAGGGCGTTCGCGCGACGTGTCGCGTGCTCGTTTTCGCGCTATCGCTCGGTTCTCCAGATTTGGAAACCGTCGCTCATCGCCCGGAAGTGCTGGGCTCAAGCAGCCAATAGCGAAATACCGGAAAAGACAAAGACTACATAGGTGCACGTGACCCTGCCCGAGTCACGTATGCGCAACAAGAAATAACGCAATGTTTATTACGCATGTGCATATAAAAAAGTGCTGCAAGGCAATAATAAACACTTTCCGTTTCATTACACATTAATATATTTTATTTTTAAATTGCATACCACTCGCTACGCGGTTTTCTTGGTGCGAGTAGACGGCCTCATGCCAGCAACAGTGGAATTCGCTCGCCGAAGCCGTCGCGTGAATGAGGTTTGCCTGCGCAAGCGACTGATCGCGCGAAGCCGATCTACGTCGCGTCGCTTGTCGCTGTCGCGTGCATTTTCGCGCCTTAAAGAAAAATTGCGATTTTCTAAATCCTCCTTGATATTGCCTCCGCTTGGTTTCTCCTTTCGCGTTTCTTTATTCACCACAGCGGCGTGCTCGGCGCGCACTCGCTCATGCTGCACTCTCTTTCGCAGCGGCGATATCGACGCTCACGAAGTTGAACGTAAACGGCAACGCCGGCAAGCGAATCTCGAATCGCAAGGCTGCGAAAGCGTGCGTTAGTTCTGCTTCCGTTATTCTCTTCTTGTACAACGGTGAGGGCAGTGCCATGAACAACGTCAAAGTCGACGCTATAGTTGCAGCCTCACCGCCGCAGAGCAAGGGAAGGTTCGGAAAGCCGAACGTAAACGTAAGCGTCGGCAAGCGGTAATTCAAACGCTTTGACAACCACCGTCACGTAAGTCACCTCAGGAAAACGGAAACTCGATGCGCACGCGCCCCCCCTACGGTGCTTTCGCATTCCATCATGGTTTCCCGTAGGGAAGATGATGTGTAATTTTTTCTATCGGTAACCTTTTCTTCTGTAACATGCTTTGATTGATGAGTGGCTAAATGAGGGCCTTTTACCCTATTGTGGCCTCTTATTTTGTTCTCGTTAGTATTTTTTTGTGATATGATTTGATTGATGGGTGGTTAAATGTTGGTGTTTAATGTCAGTGTTTTACGGTGTTGTGGCCTCCTTTAGATGCGGAAGCATCTTATGCTCGTGGCAGTGTCCGTTACGCGGTGTCCGCGCCCATACTGCACATTCGCCAACTCTCGCCTCTTACTCGCGTGAGCGTGAGGAGGTGGGTGGAGGGGGCGTGAGTATTGTTCAAAGAAGATTAAGGGCCAAACCTCATAAGCGCGAAAATGCACGCGACAGCGACGAGCGACGCTATGAGCGACGAAACAGGGCGTTCGCGCGACGTGTCGCGTGCTCGTTTTCGCGCTATCGCTCGGTTCTCCAGATTTGGAAACCGTCGCTCATCGCCCGGAAGTGCTGGGCTCAAGCAGCCAATAGCGAAATACCGGAAAAAGACAAAGACTACATAGGTGCACGTGACCCCTGCCCGAGTCACGTATGCGCAACAAGAAATAACGCAATGTTTATTACGCATGTGCATATAAAAAAGTGCTGCAAGGCAATAATAAACACTTTCCGTTTCATTACACATTAATATATTTTATTTTTAAATTGCATACCACTCGCTACGCGGTTTTCTTGGTGCGAGTAGACGGCCTCATGCCAGCAACAGTGGAATTCGCTCGCCGAAGCCGTCGCGTGAATGAGGTTTGCCTGCGCAAGCGACTGATCGCGCGAAGCCGATCTACGTCGCGTCGCTTGTCGCTGTCGCGTGCATTTTCGCGCCTTAAAGAAAAATTGCGATTTTCTAAATCCTCCTTGATATTGCCTCCGCTTGGTTTCTCCTTTCGCGTTTCTTTATTCACCACAGCGGCGTGCTCGGCGCGCACTCGCCTCATGCTGCACTCTCTTTCGCAGCGGCGATATCGACGCTCACGAAGTTGAACGTAAACGGCAACGCCGGCAAGCGAATCTCGAATCGCAAGGCTGCGAAAGCGTGCGTTAGTTCTGCTTCCGTTATTCTCTTCTTGTACAACGGTGAGGGCAGTGCCATGAACAACGTCAAAGTCGACGCTATAGTTGCAGCCTCACCGCCGCAGAGCAAGGGAAGGTTCGGAAAGCCGAACGTAAACGTAAGCGTCGGCAAGCGGTAATTCAAACGCTTTGACAACCACCGTCACGTAAGTCACCTCAGGAAAACGGAAACTCGATGCGCACGCGCCCCCCCTACGGTGCTTTCGCATTCCATCATGGTTTCCCGTAGGGGAAGATGATGTGTAATTTTTTCTATCGGTAACCTTTTCTTCTGTAACATGCTTTGATTGATGAGTGGCTAAATGAGGGCCTTTTTACCCTATTGTGGCCTCTTATTTTGTTCTCGTTAGTATTTTGTTTTGTGATATGATTTGATTGATGGGTGGTTAAATGTTGGTGTTTAATGTCAGTGTTTTACGGTGTTGTTTTTTATTTTGTTTGTTCTCGTTAACCAACTTTCCATAACCTTTGGTCATTCAGAAATGTTCCGCTTTGTTCGAATTTTGTTGGCGTCCGCTTTTCCGCTTTTAATGTGTTGTCGCCTTCTCTTTTGTTCTGGCAGAAAGCATTTTATTTTGTGGTCAACATTGATTGAGTGTGGTCTTTTACTTTTTTTATTGAGCGCGCTATGTACGCTGAGTCACGGCCGGGTAAGAGAGCTGCTCCTCTAGCCCAACCGTGGCTCAGTGGACAGTATTGGCCGCGAAGGCCTCCACTAGAGAGGCCTGCGCTGCGATCGTTTTGACGTCACAGATAGGATGCGTGCACTCGCCTTGCTTGCATCGTCCCCCAGGGGTGCACTTGCATCGTCCCCCATGACTTCACCTGTTTTTAATGGCAATTTTACGTTGAAAATTATACACGAGAGGGTCACCGGGGGCACTGATTGGTAGTTTGCTTGCCCGTATTATCAGGTCTTACCGCTTCTTGAAGCACTGAGCTTCAAAACAAAGGGAAGCACGCACGGTGTCCGCAGCAAAAGCTCATAAAATGCGGTGTTCTAGCAGACAACACAGCCCGGCATCTTATGAGTGACGTCATCACGTAAGTGGCGCCCCGGTATGTCTTCGAGGACCATTAACATTTCTCCCCTGCGCTTCGAGTAGGAGGAATGGTGACGTCAGCCTCGACCACAACGGTCAGACGTTTTACTAACCGTAAATGCTTCGCCCCTAATATACATATCGGTAATCCAAACCTTAAACTCGGTGTTCCGTGCCCGTTCTGAGGCAAAGACCAGCTGCTGCATCCATCGCGTGGTCTCGCCGTTGACGCCGCACCATCCTTGCTGGGGGATGCCGGCGTCTTCGGCGGCGTACATCACCGAATGAAAAGGCATCCGGCGAGCGAAGAACTTGCGCGCCCCTTCGACGTAGAAGCGACCCCAGCGGGACTGAATGGAGCCTTCGAAGACACCTTTGTGGAGGCCACCGTACACCCGACTGGAGGGATCGCCTGCAAGATGAAATAAGCGACCGAGCTGTGCTTGTAGCCATCAGGATTTGTATTAGTGTGCACTATTGTTCATACGAGGTGAGCGGGATGTTTAAGGCGAAAGTCTCAGACGTTTCACAAAAAGCGAAAGTTAAATTGGAAAAACTCTGTAGCGGTGCGAATCAGCATACAAGAGATGAAAGCAAATAAATAAATGAATAAATAAATAAATAAATAATAAGGAAAGGCGCACATAAGAAAAAGTCTGTCGAAGACGCAGATTCCCTTAAATGGCAGTACTGGATTCACAAAACATTCCACAAGAAACTCTTTACACACAACACGCATATATATTTTTACGCAAGAAACATTGTACATCGGACATGTGCACAATAAAATGCAGAAATATACTGGCATTCACGCTCGAATGAAATAGACCATATCGTAACTATATATTAAGGTCCCGTAAAGCATTTTATTTGACGTAAACATAACAAACATGATACCTGGTATGAAGTAGTGTCGCTAAAACTAGACGCTAACACACAGACCGAAGCAAAAAATGGACGACACGTAGCCCCTACGTTGTAGTTTTTTTTTCATTGTGTCTCTTGTGTTGGTGCTATAATTGCCTCACATTTACTTCAAAGAAAAAAAAAAGCGTGTAAAGTGAGTCCTTTCGGGTATTCCTGACATGCCACGTATGCGAATATCATAAAATAGGCACGTTGACTTTGTTGAACGTTGTCCGCCGCCGTGATGTTAAGTTGCTCGGCTGCTGACCCGAAGGTCACGGGCTTGATTCAGGCCGTGGTGGACGAATCTCGATGGGGGCGAAAGGGTAGAGAGCCGGATATGTTCAAAATTTACTCAGACCTGCAACTACAACGCCTTTTACTGAAATTGTGGTTTGGGTCGTAAAGCATTGGCCCCGTTTCTGCAAGTGTCATCTACAAATGTCGTCGAAAGACGATAGTCTTGCGTCTGGAGGGATGGAACAAAACGTTTATTTGATGTTCTGCGCAAGAAAATCGGTGACTGGTATTCTGGAAGCGCTTTGTTAGAGTGCCTCGAGCGTGAAGCTGGGGCGAACGAGTGCATCAAGTCACGTCGCACGTGAGACATGAGCGCTATCTGGCAGTTACCTTGCAAAACAAAACGCAAGCTTTGAGACGGGCGTGCGCGCCCATCTCAGAGGTGATAAGGTGTAGAACGCAAGGTGACGGGTAGGTGCCACCACCATGTCGTCTTAGCTAAGGTCCCTAGATGAAACAAGTTTTCAAGGTAGCGACACCTTTCCCTTTCCTCTTCGCCTATGTTCCTGAAGCGCCCCCTAGAAGGTTTGAAACTTTCATCCAAAAGCGAATGTTTGGGTTCTGTTGCTACGGTGAATAGACGTAAATAAAACAAAATGAAACGAAATAAGACGTAGAATAAACAGTTACCTTTATGAACATAAACGGCACAACACAAGAGCAAGCGGGATGTGCGTTACTGAACCGGCAACGTTGTGCAGTTCTATACTTTACACCACTAGCCATGGCGTCTCACGTAGTACAATTTAGTTCCACGGCCGCGGTATTTCGTCCAGTTCAAACTAGTCCACTTCTCCGATTGTGTTTTGTTCGTGCTGTGACAGAGTGAACGTGCTTCTTGCTGGATCTTGTAAGTTGCCACAGGGCGTGACGTTGTGACGATTGATTACAACCGGCTTGTGCACACGCAAGCAAAAAAATACAACCAGACTGGTACGAACACTCGTCCAGCAGCACTGCGATGACGTTTTTTTAAATGTGCCCATTTGGACAATCGTGATGCCAAGTGATTCTGATGCGGTGCTGGGAACTTCCTGAAAAGTGAGAGTTCTACAGGTGAGGTGTCTCGAAGCAGCGCGTTTCGGCTCAAGCGGGAACTGGTCAAGAGTGAAATGTTTCTGAAGGTGCGTTGATTACAACCTACAGCTGCTCTGTATACGTGCATACCCACATGTATTTGTACCAACTGGCATGCACTAGACACGCATTAGACGCGCGCCTGGCGTTTCAATAAAAACCGACAAGTGAACTCGCTTCGCAGATCCGCGTCGACATACGTTGACGGAGTTGCACGAAAGCATTCGCGTGAAATGGTTCATAGTTGAACTTCGTGGTGCGTTTCATCTCGGAAAGCACGAGGTAAGTTGAAGAGAGCGAAACCATTTTCTGTTGTTTACGGCAGCGCAGCATTGCTGAAAAACGCAGATGTTGCATTGAACGAGCACGGCGAAACAATCTTGGTCGACTTAGCGCACACCGAAACGCTCCTTCTCTTCAGTATATGTTCTGGCTATGTTTTAGATGCGGAGCATCTTATACTCGCGCCTTGTAGTGCGCCGTCCGCGCCGTCCGCGCCGTCCGCACCGCTTCTCGAACATTCGACAGCTGACGCGCGCGCATGCGCCGTCGCGCCGTCGCCCACTCTTCCACCATCTGTGCATCCCTTCCTCCTCTACACACCGCGCGCGCTTCACTCCTCCACCATCTGTGCACCCTTCCTCCTCTACACACCGCGTTCGACATCTACAATTCTCCTGATTCTCCAGTGGACGACCGCCAGGTGGCGCCGAGGAGTGCACACGCATTCACATCGGCTCCGTCAATCATCGTACCTAGCAGCGGTTAAAATCATGTGACTACCAGTGAAACTACGGCAAATGTGCAGGAAGACGTCAGGTACACGCTGACACCACCTTTTTGGACAAGCGATCCCGGTTTCCTCTGGGAAGTGAAGACCTTCGGCAGAGCATGCCAACCCGCCACGCTAAGCCTCGCGGCGAAGCGGAACGCGGAGTCCTGGCAGCCAGCTCTCGGCCGACGCGTTGCGCTGCATCTGCCCGAACCCCAACGGACAACGACCCGGAACTAGCCCAGGCACTTATGGACATGGATGACCAAGACATCGAAACCCAAGTGAGCTCTGCGGTGGACGCCAACGAAGATTTCCTTTCACCTGACGAGGTGCTACAAGGAGAATCTACTAGCGACGCCGAGAACAAGGAAAAAGACTCTGCGGAGGTGGTGGTGGTGGTAAAAAACATTTATTCCAGAAAAAGTTTACTAGAGAGTGCCGACGTGGCCCATCGGCGTGCTAGAGTGGCAAGACCCTATTCCGGGACGCCAGTGGAGCTGGAAGCTGCCCGTGCGCGCTCCACCAAGGAGCGTTGTGCAGCCAAGGTAGAGCAGCCGAGCAGGTGCTCCTCCCAAGCCTCTCTAGTTGGGATAGGAAAAGGGGATGAGAAAGGGACGGGATTAACTGGGCACGATGCTACGACGTGATATGTGTCGGCGAGCACATGACAGGTCGAGCAGGTGCCATTGATTTCCGGCAAAAAGTGCCTGGCGACCGCCGGACTGATAAAGGTGTTCGTCTGCAGGCGGCGTAGCAGTCGTTCGTCCGCTTTCTCCAAACCGCGTGCGGGGTCCGGGTAGAGGCGGCGCGAAGCCCGGTAATAAGCCAAAATTTCGCGAAAGCGCGTCAGGTTGGTATTGCCAGATTCCGTCTCGGGACATGGAGGGGCAACGGCCCGGACAGGAGAAGCGCGGGCAGCGGCATTTGCCGCCTCGTTGCCGGGCAGGCCCGAGTGGCCTGGGGTCCACACTATACGAATGGGATGAGGGTTAAAGCGCCAAGAGGCTGCCTGTAGTAGGCTAGCCGCCAGCGGAGCAATGGAACCCTGAAGGTACTGAGAACAGGCCGAGCGCGAGTCCGTCAGGATGGTGCGTGAGGCAGGGTGAGAGGCGGCCAAAGCTATGGCAACCTCTTCAGCGTGCGTTACTGTGTCTGCTCGAAAGGAGAGGCCATCTACGTGTTTGCCCTCTGTAATCACGGCAGCCGTGAAGTGACCCGAGGGGGAGGGACCCGAGACGTCCACGTAGAAAACACCAGGACGATCGGAGTGTCGCGTATGAAGGGCCGCGGCGCGTGCTAGTCTACGGCCAGGATGGAGGTCAGGGGTTCATATTACGGGGTAGAGGTTCCACCCATAGCTTTTGACGCCAGAGCTCTGGTACCGGCTGCAGAGGGTCTTGGTCAGATATCGGGTTAAGGCCAAGTCTGTGTAGAAGACGGCGCCCTGAAGGCGTCTGCGACAGTCGATTGATTTGGTTAACGCGATGAGCTTCGCGCATCTCTGCAAAGGTGTTGTGTACCCCCAGAGCCGTGAATCGGCTGTTGGAAGTTGCAATAGGTAGGTCCAGAGCGCGTTTGTATACTGAACGAAGAAGGACGTCCAGCTGGTGCTCGTGTCGACGACGCAGGCGAAGGTAAGGCAAGGCGTAGAGGACGCGACTGGTCACAAACGCGTGGGCCAATCGGAGGGACTGAGACCCGCGGAGGCCGCCGCGCTTGGTAGAAACTCGCCGTATCATGCGGCTCACCTGTTCGCTGGTGCGTCTGAGGCCTGCTATTGTGCCCTTTGGATCCAAGGACGATGTGAGGTGAAGGCCAAGAACCCGAATATTTTGCACTGACGGGACGGGCCCGGACGGAAGAAAAATTTGAGGCGGCGGTAGCGGAGAGACTGAAAGAAGAGCCGATTTAGCTGGAGAGCACTCCAGGCCGCATGAACCTGCGTAGGTGTCCACCAGAAGGGCAGCCTTTTGCAGGCGTTCTTCGATTTGCGCTAAGGAGCCGGTGTTGGTCCAGATTGTGATATCGTCCGCATATAGTGCGTGTTGTATTCCCTCGACCTCGCTTAGAAGAGAGGGGAGGTTCATCATCGCCAGGTTAAAAAGCAGAGGAGACAGAACTGCCCCTTGAGGTGTACCCCGCGTGCCTAATAAGTACGGGCCGTGTTCGGTAGAATTAAGGCGAATGAAGGCGGTGCGATGTGATAGAAAGGCGCGAATGTAGTTGAAAGTCTTCTGCCCGCAGTTTGTTTTAGACAGGTTAGTGAGTATAGTGCTGTGTTTGACGTTGTCGAACGCCCCGCGGAGATCGAGAGCGAGCACGGCTTTATCGTTATGGCGCATAGTATTCGGCTC